TGATAAGTAAACAATGAAAAGTGAGTTAAAAATGGTCCAATTCATAGTAATAGAAGCATAGAATCACAAAACAGAAACTAAAATGCTTTCATGAGAACTTTCTGTGGGTGTATACATACAGTATCAGGAAGTGATGCAGAGTTTAAATAACTGCACATGTGAAGCTGGTGATCAGTTTGTCTCAACACAGAACTAGTTGATGCCATGCAGAATCACAGTGACTTGAGCTTAGACAGTTGGTCAACAGCAGATGCCATGCAGAATCACAGTGACTTGAGCTCCGACAGCTGGTCAACAGCTAACCTGGTCACCAGTGGTCTGATGGGTCTCTGCTTCGTGGTTGGAGTTCCGGGTAATATTGCAGTCATTCTTTTTATAGTTTTCCATATGAAAAGAGATAATTTCACTGTTCATCTGATGCTGAACCTGGCAGCTGCAGACATCTTGTGTTTGATAACCCTGCCTGGGTGGATCTACAGCCAGCTAATGGACTTTGATAAAACAGCCTGTAAGCTCTTCACAACACTGGTCTACTGGAGTATGTACTCAAGTCTGATGACCGTGACTGTGCTCAGCGTGTATCGCTGTTTGCGGATTCGTCGTCCACAGTTGTTGTCCAGAATGACCAAGAGAAAAGAACAAGTGCTGCTGCTCACCATCTGGATTCTGGCATTGGTTTTTTCTTGTCCCGGTGTTCTCACACAGGAGATCATTCTATATGAATCCAAAATGGAGTGTGAAAGAAACCTGGATACAAAAACGAAGCTTATCTTTGCCATGCTGGAGTCACTGTTTGGATTTTTTGTTCCTCTAACAATCATGGTGACTTCATATTGTTGCTTACATAAGATGGCCACACAGGGATCGTTCAAACACAGTCGGCGATTGACCAAACTGGTGACTCGTATTGTCATAGTGTTCTTCATCTTTTGGGCTCCGCACCACTTAATTAAACTAGAGGAAATATTTGCTAAATTTTCAGGATCGGACCCATTTTTATCTCCCATTGCTGAAATAGTTGGGTGCCTTACGTTGATCAACAGCTGCGTGAATCCATTCATCTACGCTTTTTCCTCAAAGAGTTTAAAACAAAAGAAAGAGCTCACTGGAAATGAAGGATCGCAACATCTACATCATATAGCTGTGAACAACACATCTGACACTTGAACATGGACCGAATAATTATGCAATAATACAGTTTTAATTTGCATAGTTAACTGGACAATGAAGTGTATTTAATACATTTTCAGTAGTGATGCTTAAATGGACAATTCATCCAAAATGGAAAATTTGCTAAATACAGTATACTTGACTTATCAGTAGATAAGTAGTCAACAGCTACCGGTGCCTGTAGAGCCAAAAAATGGGAAAAACGGTTTGATGACTTTGGTGTATTTGATGCAATGCTCATCCTAGTGTTAATGGTGTTTTTAGGGATTGGAGAAGGAATGGTGGGAATAGCATTAAGTACTTTTGACTTCAATTTACAATGTAATGAGAGTACAGTTTAACAATAATGTGTGCAATAATGGTGTAAATATTCTAATTTTAATATCAGCTATACTGTCTCGAGTGCAGAAACATTAGCTGGGAACTGATCTGCTTGTTCCTGTGTGCTTCATGATCACATGTTGTGTTCCTCACAAGATTATGACTAATACAGATGTTTTATAATTGAATAAAATAAATGGACTTGGACTGCTACACAACTCGCATAGGTATGCATTTTAAAAAGGGATTTCAGTGACTAAGATCTTGTTATTATTTTAAATTAGATAAGATTCTTTGAAACAGTTTTGTAAAGTTCCAGCTTAAATTATATAGCTGTATGTTTTTTTTAAAAAGAAGTGGTTTCCACTAAAATTGTGAAATGGATAGCAAATGGTTCTCTTTTTTTTGTATTACACAAGTCATTTATGAGGTGGTTAGAAAAACTAAGGCAATAAGGCTTACCAGTTAACAAAAACATTTAGCAAAAATAATTTTATTTACCAGTAGAGCATCAAAATTTAATTAACAGATATATGAAGATCATTCAAAAACACATGCATACTCGCACAAACAAACAGTTTAAGTCAGAATTAATAGCTCCTATTGATTTATTCTTTTTAAAAAATATTTCCTAATGCTTAACAGAGAAAGGAAATTTTCACAGTGTGTCTGATAATATTTTTTCTTATTGAGAAAGTCTTATTTGTTTTATTTCGGCTAGAATAAAAGCAGTTTTTAATTTTTTAAAAATCATTTTAAGGTCAAAATTATTAGCCCCTTTAAACTATATATATTTTCAATAGTCTACAGAACAAACCATCATTATACAATAACCTGCCTAATTACCCTAACCTGCCTGGTTAACCTAATTAACCCAGTTAAGCATTTACATTTCACTTTAAGCTGTATAGAAGTGTCTTGAAAAATATCTAGTTAAATATTATTTACTGTCATCATGGCAAAGATAAAATAAATCAGTTATTAGAGATGAGTTATTAAAACTATTATGTTTAGATATGTGTTGAAGAAATCATCTCTCCGTTAAACAGAAATTGGAGAAAAAAAATAAACGGGGCTAATAATTCTGACATACTGTATACACTTACCGGTTATTCAAATCTGCAACACTTTCCAAAATAAAAGTTTGGACAGGAGAAATTTAGGGCTAGTAATCGGGTAAATTAGTTAAATAATGTAATTTGATACAGGTGGTTGTAATTATTATTTGGTGATAACAAGGATCGCCAGTTTGCCAACAAATATAAGAGAAAATTATTAAAATGTTTAAAACAATGTTCCTCAAAAAAAAAGATAGGAAGACATTTGTATATTTTACCTTCAACAGTATATTTTACCTTCAACATACAGTAATTAAAGATTCAAACAATTTGGAGGAATTTCAGTGTGTAAAGGACAAGGCCGCAAGCTTAAGATGAACTATGATCTCTGATCCCTTAAGAGGCACTGCATCAAGAAGAACCGTCATTCATCTATAAGCAATATCGCCACATGGGCTCAGGACTTCTTTGTCAAACCTTTGTCAAGTACCACAGTACGGAGTTACACAAATGTCAGTTGAAATTGTACGGTGCCAAAATGAAGCCATATGTTAACAGTGTCCATAAGCACTGTCTACTTGTCTGGGCTCAGCATCATCTGTGATGGGCCATCACACAGTGGAAACATGTAATGTGGTCAAATAAATCAGTATTTTTGGGGGAGAAATGGACGCTGTGTGCTCCGGACCAAACAAAAAACGATAATCAAGGCTGGACTTGGACTTGTTACCAGCAACAAGTCCAAAACCCAGGATCTGTCATGATATGGGCTTGTGTCAGTGCCCTTGGCAAAGGTAACTTGCACTTCTGTGATGGCATCATTAATGCTGATAAGTACATCAAGATTTTGGAGCACAATATGCTGCTTTCGTTTCCAGGGACACCCATTCATATTTCAATGAGTTCAGTGTAAAACAACATTCTGCACACAGCCAGTCCTGGCTGCGGAGGAAGAGGATACAGGTACCTGGCTGGCCTGCCTGCAGTCCTGACCTGTCTCAAACAGAGAATGTGGGCTGCATTTTGAAGCACAAAATGTGACAACAAAAACCCTGTACCTTTGCCTACCTTAAGACTTGTTTGCAGGAAGAACGGGACAAAATGACACCTGAAACACTTCATCACTTGGTGTCTTCTGTACCTAAACATGTTTTAAGTGTTGTGAAAAGCAATGACAACATAAAACATTAAATGCTTTACTTTTCCAACTGTTTTTGAAATGTGTTGCAAGAAACCAAATTGGAATACAATTATGCTGAGAAAAATAATAAAAAAATCATGAGAAACACATTATATAACCTTACAAAATAATGTTTGTTGTATTGTCTGCAATGAAATACAAGTCAAAGAAAATTTAGTAATCACTATTTTTTTTTATTTGTCCATGCAGATTTGGGATTAATAACTCAATTTCCAGCCAATGCATGCTCAAGACATGCCAATTTAATGTGATCTTGAGGCGTTGTAATGTCTACTACTTCATGTCACCCATACCTCAGGCAGAAAACAGAGGAAGACAGAAGACAGGGCTGTCATCCATTTGAGCTGAACATGCGCGTGCACACACACTTTAACTGGCCTGTTAACTTTTATGACGGGTTTTATTGTTTTTCCCAAGTGGATTATTTGATTTATGATATAGCCTTGCTGAAGTCTGCATTCATTTTGGATAGGTAGCATTAGGTGTAATGGTGCATTGATTAATAACACTTGAAATCAGAAAAAAAAACACAGTAATACTAAAGGAAGTGTAATACTTTCTTCCAAAATGGCAATCTACACTGTATAAAATGCTGTGTTCCACACAATTCCTTCATGTTGTCCCAACACAAATTGATTAAGATAACTTGATCAATTAAGTTGTCCCAGAAAAAGTAAGAATTGTGTTGTTTTAACTCATTTTAAATAAGTTATTTGAACAAGCAGCAAAAGTAATTTTTTAAATACACTTCTAGTAGACTGACCAAACCCACAAATACAAGCCCCCCTGCATGCCCACAAGTTTATATGACAGATTCTAGCATAATAGCTAGTAATTTCACTTTGTTCAGCTCTAAACTCCAGCATGTAATCTCGTTTCCATTCATTCAAAGCTTGTATTTGGCCTGAGGGGCAGATAGCGATTCCTCAGTCTCTCAGTTCAATATATTATGAGTTTGGGAATCATTCCTCAGGAGAACTGCTGAGACCTCTGATCACTCTGACATACACTAAGCGGAGGCTGATGGCAGCGGTCGGCATGATAAACAAGTATCTTGGTCCAAACACCCACTCAGTCGGATAAACAAGGTTTCTGCTGAGCTTTTATACCAGGATGTGCTCTAAAAATCATCTATGCGACACAAGCGAGTTTTATGTTATTTGCAAAGCTTTGCGGTCTTTACTGCAGCTGACACTTACCGATAAAAAGAAAGCTGCCAGTTATTTAAAAAAACAGTCAAATTAATTATATATATATATATATATTTATTTAATAATGACGGACTGAAAATTCTGTTCGTACAAGGAAGAAACCAAAACACTCAAATGTTTTTATATATTAGAAATCTAACATACAACAGTACACATGAAGGCAAATAATGCACAATATATACTAGCAGCCAAAGGCTCTCTGAAGTAAACACAACTGTTAAAATACATTTGCATATATAATTTCTAAATTATAGTGACAGTGCACAAATATTTAAATGATGTCCTCATTTACTGACCGTTTGCTTATTTCAAACATTTACGAGTTTCTTTCTCATGGTGAACACAAAACAATATATTTTGATGAAAGCTAACCATTGACTTCAATAGTATTTGTTTTTCCTACAATGGAAGTCAATGGTTACAGGTTTTGCAGACTTAACAGAAGAAAGATACTCGGAAATGTTTGGAACCACTTGAAGGTGATTACATTTTTATTTTAGGGTGAACTATCCCTTTAAAACGTTGGCAAAACAGTTACCATCTTGACTTATAAGTGCACAAACCAACAACATCTAAGACGTCAACCCACATTCTGAAATAATGACATGCATATACTGTAGTTCAATACCTTACTATTTGACATTAGTGTCTTCTGACCTCTAAACAATAGCTTACAGTGAGACATTTTCAAGTTGTGTTCTGGCATTGATAACGCAGCAGGAACAATCCTGCCACAAAAACTGGGTTTTAAAAAGTAGATGCAAACGTGGTCATAACATTGGTCAGGGACCTGAACAAATATAGATTTTTATTTATATGCTATATCATCTATTCCAGACAAAAGCAATCCTATGTAAGTAAGACTGTGCTTGTACGGCAGTCTAAGTAATGCTGACAGCAGCGTGAGGTGCTTTAGCTGACAGAACACGGGTCATCTTTACTGGGCTTCACCTCTCCCTGCAGCAGCTGGATCATTACTGCTTTGGTCAGGTAGCTGGACGTGCTTTGTTTCCCCAGGGCTGGTGTGTTGTAGAAGGCCTCCATGGTATCCTGTGGATATTATTCACTTCAGTAACAACACCACAAACATGAATGCAAACGGATGTACCTGTCGGATTCAAATTGGCTGTTGTGCTATAAATAAACCAAATGTTCGAGCTGAGTTACATGATGGATTGCATACATGAATATTTTCTATAGGTTGTTTTCAATTATGTGGTTCTGGTGATGTGCGAAATTCTGATGGTGGGCAGAAAGGGGAAAGTGCATATTTTTGCGAGTTATACCATATTTTTAAAGAAGATATAAATAGATAATAACCACATGTGTTGGGCATGATCTTCATATCATAAAGAGGACCAAGTTTTCTACTGAACTAAAATATATTTGCCTGTTATCGAGGCAGTAGATAAGTTTATATTACATGAAAAAATATAGTAAATATAGCGTTTTGAAGCATACTATATGGTGCATCTGGAAAGTATTCATAGTGCTTCACTTTTTCAAAAAGTTTTTTTGTTGCAGCCTTATTCCAAAATGGATTAAATTCATATATTTCCCACAATTCTACACACAATAACCCATAATGCAATGTGAAAAAAAGATTTTTTTGAAATCAATGAAATTTATTAAAAATGAAAAACCTGAAAAATCACATGTACAGAAGTATTCACAGCCTTTGCTCAATACTTTGTTTGATGCACCTTTGGCAGCAATTACAGCCTCAAGCTTGGCACACCGGTCTTTGGGAATTTTTGCCCATTCCTCTTTGCAGTACATCTCAAGCTCTATCAGGTTGGATGTCATTATGGGGTGTTGTGTGTAGAATTTTGGGGAAATAATTGAATCCATTTTGCAATAAGGCTGTAACATAAAAATGTGGAAAAAGTGATGCGCTATGAATACTTTCTGGATGTACTGTAGAAAGTTACACAAATTAAACTGTCGTAGTAATTATATTCTTGCTGTGGTACAACACAACTGTAGTAAAAAACAAATTATTCAATAGGCTTCACTTTTCTACGCCATAATTATACACCATCACAATGCAGCAGTTTATACTAACACTACAGTACGACTTACAGTTTAGCAGTTTACTATGCTACTGCATTCTGTAGCATTCTTTAACAAACAGTTGTACACATTATACACTTTTTACAATGTGATTCACAAACATGTTTATTATAAATTACTAGTTTTTTTTTCCCCATGCAGATATCTTTCAGACATCACAAAATAACAGATGAAAGCAAACAAAACCGTGTTCGTATAGTCTACATTATTATTTATTCATGTATTTTTGCAAGGGGGAATAAGTGCTCCACAATAATAACAGTCTAGTTTTGTCTCAAGGGTTGCTTTTTTTGTTCTGTCGATGAACTTACCATCAACAAACATTCATCACTGCTACGCATATAGATGTTAACGTTACGGATGTTTATTCTGCCGAAATGCCAATATAGACTTGGATTATTGCAAAACAAGACAGATTTAATTGCAGCGATTACATGGCAGGTCGGTTATTTATATTCTCCTGGATTTTGTATAAATGCGGTGGTGTTTGTATCTGATTTTTATATAACACATTAGCATATTTAAACACATACAGTAGTAAGGCCTGTATATAATCTTTATTGGTGTAGTCAAACAAATTATCAAGTAAAAAAAAAAATTTACACATGGATGTAGCCTATAAAAAAAGTTTATAAAATGCCGCCTTCCGTTTTTTTAGCAGTTTCTTTAACATTCCTCCCTATATGCGCAAAACTTATGAAAGTCTGTAAAAGCTCTTTGGCATTTCTTATTTCGGTCGATTTAAACAATTACAAACAACATTAAACAAAAACGTTTTGATCTTCTAATAGCGATTTCTATGTAGAAGAATTACTTCCTGCCCTCTATCTGAATTTCGTGCATCATCAATGACGTCATGTGAAAACAACCTGTTAAAAGCCACCAAATGTAGACCAAAAAATATCATATGACTCCCATAGATTAAACTAATTCAAATAAAAGCATCAAGTCACCTATCTGGACCTATTATGCCCAGTTGTACAAAATGTATAAGTCTCTGATGCCCCTATGTCAAGTTTCAGCTCAAAATATCAAACAATTAATGTTTTTTAACACTTTAAAACTGTGCCTTGGAAGCTTTGATCCTGATTGTACCATTTTTGGTGACAGTCGCTTTAAATTCAAAAGAGGGCAGAGCTACAAATGCCTATGTGTCAGCATACTAGCAGATTCAAAGACAAAACTAACATCCTATGCTAATGAGGGAGATATTGTCACTAGTGGGCGGGGCTTTCCCCCTCTGATGACATGTACAAAAAGAGAATGTCAATCAAAGTGTTTCTTTTTTCAAGAGTGATTATAAAAAATCTAATTATTACTTTTCAGTATTAGAAGCTGGATATATTTTAGACTGCTGCCACACAGCTGTTTAAATCCCTTATAAAAGGTAATTTTGCATAATAGGTCCCCTTTAAGTTACGTAAGACTAAAAACAAAATCTGTTCTATTAAACAAATACTGCAAAAACATAAGACATTGTTTTCAATGTTGAAAATAATTAAAATCCTGAGCACCAACAATCAGAAGAATCATGACACTGAAGACTGGATAAAAAGATGAAACAATTTCTATTTTTGACTAGATAAAATCTAAATAAAATGACAAAAAATCCCTTGAGAACATGACGGTCCCTAAAGTTAATGTTAATTTATATAGATCCAAACACTTAATAATATAAACCAAAGTAAAATCTTTTAAATTAAACCTGCCCTTACCCGTTTCTCAGTGCCCTCCAGTTTGCTGCGATCTTTCTGAAAGTCAGCAAAAGCCTCCTTTACCAATTTGTCCAAATCCACTGGTTCCTGAAACTCCAGCTCCGGGTTTCTTTCCAGTACAATTGACACCACCATCAAGAGCTGTGTTCAGGTCATCAAAAACACAGGGGTTAAACCGCACACAATACATTTTCTCAGATTACAAACAAGTGTTGCAGAGTTAATTGAGAATGCACAGTGCCAAACCTCAACAATAATCTGCCTATATTCAGGCAAAACAATGTTTTTCAGTGTGTCTTCCACTAACAGAGAGAAATTCATCTCATACATGGTCATATCTGACAGAGTGGGTTGCTGCAAAAAAAAGGGAAAAATGGATATTGTCATCTTCGGATATTCTGAATAAAACTGAATTACAGAGGACTTATTTATCCAGAGCTGCAATTCCTCAACAATCCTAATAAATAAATAAATAAATAAATACATAAATAAATATATATATATATAAATATATATATATATATATATATATATATATATATATATATATATATATATATATATATATATATATATATATATATATATATATATTAACAGAATAGAATCATATAGAGTAGTTACCTGAGGGAGATGTTTTCCGCCAACCATGATGCCGTTACGTGTTCGCTCTAGGATTTGCCAAACGCGGTCATAGAAGCCGAGAGGGGTTCGATTGAGGGAGCCATCGATCTGACGTCTGTTAAGCCATGATCTGTGGAAGAGATTTAAAATGAATTCCCAAAACATTGGAGAAATCTATGGTTCTGTAGCAAAACTCTTTAGGGAGCTACAACTATTACACTACTGTTTAGGATAATATATTAAAATTTATAAGTGTTTTACATATATATATATATTTTTTGCAGAAAATAAATTCTCTTCAAGGCTGAATTTATTTAAAAGTAATTTGTAAAAATAAATATATATTATTTAACATTTTCCATTTTTACGGTTTTTATTGCTTGTATTTCTTTTGTTTTCTATTATTAAAATACATTTTATCTACTTAAAATAAAAGTAGTGATTATTGAGTCGTGATTTTTAGCATAACCACTTTAGTCTCAAATTAAAACATTTTTCTAATATGCTGATTTGCTGCTCAAGACCATTTCTTAGCATAAGCACATATGAGAAAAAATTGATGTTTGTGGAAAGTGATGCATTAAAAAAATTATTCTTTGAAGCATGGCATGTTTAAAAAACAGCATAAATTTGACATAAAACATAATTTATAACATTGCAAATCTCCTTAATGTCAATTTCGAACTTACTACAGGACATCAAATGTAATGTTTTCACAACTTTAAAATATTTAATGTAGTAACCTGATGAAACCTTAAAACTAGATAATTTTTCTAATTTACTCGCTTATATTCAGCTTATTTCCTTCAACTGCTTTATCTGGGAAATTCTACAAATCATTACTTGACAATTATCCTTTAAAAAACTACCGTAGTATTACCCAAATGACGATAGACTTTATACTACAGTTGCAACTGGACACAGCGGATAATTGAACTTTGGCAGGATTGTCTACAGTAGCACAAAGATGGTTGGGAGTCCCGCACCTGCCACTCTGCTGAGACTGGAGGACGTCCAGCAGGAGCTGTTTGACATCACTAGGGGACATCTGGTAAATGTCCTGTGGTGGCATGTCTCCAGCGCGAATCTTCAGCTCGTGCTTCATGGCTTGAACAATCCACCTGATTGAAATGCAGGCATGACAAAGCAAGTTTACTGAAGGAAATTCATCTGAATAAATGATTGAAATGATCAGTGCAAAATTAGTCTGATTTATTGACTATTATTTACAGATGTGAACATGCTCACTTGTCTAAGCCCAAAGTAAACTTCAGTTTTTAATTCACCTACAGTTTGTGATGTGAAAGAATGAGGTGTAATATACTGCATAACGCTTCTTTTGAAATTGCATACTTATTTAGTAGATACTACTTTTGATTTGAAACATCTTCAATATGATATGGATGTGTCTAGGATTAATGCAATCTGGTCATTGCACAACTACTCTACATATCAGAAGTATCACTTCACTACCATTCCAAAATCCCCTCTCCATGGCCTTATGGAAAAGCAAATGGTGACGATCATACTTGTCTAAATAGTAGGCCATCTAGGTACTTTTTTCCCTACTGTGTTATAAATTTGATGAAATTAGACATACTACTGGGGTCACAAATTTCTGTACTCACCAACACTATAGTGTGAAAGCAGGCATTTTCAGAAACATTTACAATATATGCACTCCTCGCACCAGCACATTGAATAGTTTGTGGTTTATTTGTTTTGTCCACAAAGTGAACACTGAACCAAGCTTAAAGATGAGCAGAAATATCCAAAACCAACAAATGCCCACATTGATGAGTGCATACAAGCAGATTATTGTACTGTATCTGAAAGGAATACAATGTTGCTTCTAATTTCTGGATACAAAAAGCATAGACGCTGAACAAATATGAATCTTTTTAGCTTGCATGTGTCCATCACAAACAAATGGAGTGTACTTTGAAATGCTCATTAAGTGTGTAACTTTAAATAAAATTTATACTTTGCTTATTTACAAGCAAGAGCATAAAACACGTATATCATATTAAATATTAGTATACAATTTCAGTTTTCGGTGTTATATTTAAACAACAAATTATACATATACAGAATAGTGAAGGTTGCTGCTAAAAAGTCTATTACTTGTAAATGGCTTCAACCTGACCCTCACACTCTAGTAGAATAGAAAGCAATTGAATAATACATTTAAAAGATAGTTATTTCCACTTTAAAGCTAAAAATAATGCTAATAAAGCTAAATCCATGAAGGGTCTATTTTATGGAGTACGCAGAAAACGCAATAATAAAATACATAATTATGTTTTAATTTACACACCATGCCCTCCAGGTTTGTTAAATTGCTGTTATTTCTCTGTCTGCCTTTCTCATTTTCCTTTTTTTGTAGCCATATTCTCTTCTTCCTTCCTTTTTTTTTATTTTCTGTGTATTGTATATCATTGTCATCATTATTGTATACAAAAATCTATTTTGAAACGGACAGGAAGCCATCTGAAGAATTATTTTTCTGTGTGTAATTCTGACTCTCTTGACAAATAACAAATATATATATATATATATATATATATATATATATATATATATATATATATATATATATATATATATATATATATATATATATTTATTTATTTATACTTTGGGCTTTACTTCTTGGCTGCATACTTTGGCCTTCAGACTCATGCTTTGAAACAGAGTAAAGGCGATGTTGTACCCGACACGAATCTTCAGCATGCCACTGAACAGCTCTGGGTTGTTGGAGATGATCCAGCCGATGTGGATGACCAGCTCCTGCTGCAGTACGGCCTCTCTCTCGCCGTGAGGGCTGCACTTGCTGTAGATGATGTCTTTAATGACTCCTGGAGACAGAGGGTTCGAAATCACGATCTCCTCATGCCCGAACAGGCCAAGGGTCACCTGCAACAAAACAACACTGCTGTAAACTGGAGCATTTGTCTGCTAGCACTGGTTTCAAACAAGTAGCAATTTCTATTCTTTAAATCCAACCCAATCTCAGAAAATGGAATGGAACTATTTTAGAAGGTATATGATTTATTTCATATATTGGTTTTGAAACAAGCACTTAAGCAGATTCTAAAAAATAAATAAATAAGAAGTACTCACCAAATCTCAGTGACAATATACTGTAGGAAACACTCCAATATAACTATACTTTTAAAGTAAAGCTTGTACAAAGTATTAAGTAAACTGATAACAAGCATGTACTAAATGTTTTATTTAAATGGATTGTTCACCCAAAAATGTATATTTACTACTATTATTTACTCACTCTCAAGTGGTTATAAGCCTTTATAAGCTTCTTCTGTTTGAAGAAAACCTCCATTGTAAAAAAAAAAAGATAGATACTATGAAAGTCAATGGTTACAGGTTTCCTGCTTTCTTCAAAATGTCTTCTTTTGTTTTCAACAGAAGAAAGAAACTCAAAGGTTTGGAGTAAGTAAAGGGTGAGTCAATTAGGACAGAATTTTTGTTTTTGGTTGAACTATCCATTTAACAGTGTGGATCTGCATAAATATTGCAACATTATAAAGGCAGCCAAAAGTATTAGCATGATTTTATTTGATTCTAATAAAAAATATCAAATTAATTGTGTCTGTGGGCCTTGTTTTGGTATCTCATATACACTAACTGGCCCTTTTATTTGGTATACCTTACTAGTACCAGGTTAGACTCTGCCTTAATCCTTCGTGGCATAGATTCAACAAGATACTGGAAATATTCCTCAGAGGTTTTAGTCCATATTGACCATATTGTGGTCTTCTGCTGCTGTACCCCATCTGCCTCAAGGTTGGACGTGTTGTGCGGTCAGAGGTACTCTTTTGCATACCTCGGTTGTAACGAGTGGTTATTTGAGTTACTGTTGCCTTTCTATCAGTTTGAACCAGTTTGGCCATTCTCTGATCTCTGGATCAACAAGGCATTTGTGCCCACAGAACTGCCGCTCACTGGAAAGTACACTTTTTTAGATCATTCTCTGTAAACCCTAGAGATGGTTGTGTGTGAAAATCTCAGTAGATCAGCTAGAGTAGACCAGTAGAGCAGGTCATCTTGACCATGTCTTCATGCCTAAATTCATTGAGTTGCTGCCATGTGATTGGCTGATTAGAAATTTGTGTTAAGAGCAGTTGGACAGGTGTACCTAATAAAGTGGCCGGTGAATGTGTATGTGTATATATATTTATTAATATATATCTATTTTAATAATAGCATTTACACAGAAAAAAACATTCTGATTAATAAAGTTTTATCAGGTATTCTCGTATTTTCAAAGCTTAGTTTAGGGGAAAAACAAGAGTAATTGTAAAAATTACTACAAAAAAAAACATCTGGGAAAATGTCTGTTATGATTTGCCAGCTAATGCTAAGTGATATGTTGCCATTTTGCTATCTATACAATGAAATGTATACATTGTGGTCTAAGTCTATAAAGGCTGGCTTTGCATGATCTGCTGCTATATCTCCTTATTTTTCCCAGCAGACGTCAATACGGCACTGCAAAGTAATTTACCCAAATCCAAAAAGTAGAGAGCACACAGGCTCAGCTTCTTTAAATTAAATAAGGCTAAGACTCTATAATTCCACATGCAGGTCAGCTCAGACTGCTCTTGTATGCAAAGAATGACCCATTTTCTAACCAAAACGTACCCATTTATCTTACCCACAACATTAGGCCCCTAGGATGCAATTTATATGCAGATTCACCGCTAGTGCGCAGCTCTGATGAATCATTTCACAACCACCAGGGGCTAAACAGGACTGTGTTGGGAAACTATAGCAGTTCATTAAACAAACACTCCACACCACACGTAATGTTTGTCTCAACACATAGCAAATGAAAGGTAAATGCGCACTGATGTTAAATGTAATGCATGGACAATGGGGATGGTAGCAGGGGTTCTGGGTAAAAGCAATTCTCGCCGCAAAAGGAGCAGTTAAGCATCAAATGAAAGGGCGGCAGGTTAGCTTTGCTAGTGATGACTGATGCGATTAGCTATCATCCCTGCTGTTTAATAGGAAGAGAAGTCCATCTCGAGTTCGGCATACAGCTGATTTGAAGATTAAAACTATTTCAAGCGTATTTTGGCTTATAATCAGTGAACATTAAAAAGTTTGTAGAAGTCCCAAACTGAAATTCCACATTTAGGCCTCTGTTCCTGTTTTCCACTTACCTGCTTGCCATGCACTAAAACGCTAGTAATGCTCGGAGCAAGGCTGTCCACTAGTTTAGTTAAGAGACTGGCAGCAAGGCGCACAACGGACCTGGTGAACACACAATACAACACAACAGATGTACTCACTCATTCAATGAAGCCAAACATACAATTGACTGGACTAAAATATTCAACCCAGGCTAATTCTGAAAACATACCGCTATATATATTTCTGGAGAGCATCAAATATGCCCCAGGAGATAAATTTATTTTTGCAGTTTATGTTTTCATTAATCCACCAGAGAGCGATGTGTATGCTTTTTCATTTCTGTCACGAGTACCATTCGCACCTGCTGTTCTCGTGTGAATCCACCTGATGACACTTTCGACTGACTGACTGACCCACCCTCCTCCTTCGCTTAACCCAACCAATAGTGTTTTCACAAGCATTGCTTGACACCTACTTCCCTAAACCCTACCGACAGTTTTAAATAGCAACCCAGTAAAAGAAAAGCCCTCGCCTGATTTTTACCACGTTTTCAGATTTTACCAAATACTCTCCCTGTTAATTATTTGTTTATTTTATTTTTAACTTTTGTTTTTGTCTTACTCGCTTTCTGGAACCATTCTTCGCTGGACTCGAACCCTGTCATCCTGGTCAGCTCCTCTCTGCGTCTAAAGTCTGCCAATGTACATGTCGAGCTAACTGGACAAACTGGTAACAGTGGGAAAGCCGTCCATGTGGAGGTAAGCGGTCAGCTGGTAAGCGCAAAAAGGAGCAGCGCCATACCGCCCCGTACTGTTCGTTTTAAAGAAGAAATGCAGCCATATGTACTTCTGGCTACATAATTGAAGATCTCCAGAAACATGTATAGATACGTTTTCAGAATGAGCATGTGTTGAAAATATTGTTCAATTCCAAAATATATACATTACTCCTATTCAAGTTTGAAGAAGTCTTTGGTTAAAAATATTCAAAATGGATGAATCAAATTGAATCAAGTGCTGTTTTATATATTGAAAAATATTAAGCACAACAGTTTTCAATATTAAGAAATATACATGTCGCTAGCATTTATAGTGTGCCATTGAAGACTAGAGTGATGGTTTGTTTTTCCTGTTTCACATGTTATTTCTGTTTCTATTTTTATCTATTTTTGTATTTCTAATTTTCATGTTTTTTTGTGGCAATATAAACTTGCTTAATAAATAACGTAAATTTAAATCTTGAAAATTACATTCTTTAGCCAGCCCAGGCAGTGAACTGTCAGCTGCCAAGATGTCATTATACAATACTTGCTTTGGTTACCATTAAAGGGCACCTATTTTACCCCTGTGTCAAATAAGTCTTTTTTGTCTCCCGAATGTGTCTGTAAAGTTTCAGCTCAAAACACTCATCAGATTATTTATTATAGCTTTCAGAATATTGGAATTTTCAATTCTGAACACAATGTAGCTGTTTTTGTTGCCTGTGCCTTTTATGCTAGTTCTCCCTGCCCACCGTTCCCACGTGCCTGTCAGAGTGTGCCTCAATCTCTGGCTGTGTGCGATAGATAAACAGCACAGTAAAAGACATGAAGGAAGCAGATCTCAAAGTACGTTTGTGAGAAATTCTACGGTAAGAACTTTCCCAATGATTATTTGATGTATTTGTTTTATCGATGAGTTACACAAAATGTTGTTACAAAGTTCACGCACACACACACACACAGCACCGCGTTTCACTTTGCATACCAAATGTGTCAGGATACAGGGTAATATCCACTGCTATATGGATATTCGATATGTTAATGTGCAAAATAATCCTGATTTACCACCAAAAAACCGGGATTGAAGCGTCTTCATTTATAATTGTACTGAAATGCGGCTGTGGTGATAATAAAGACGATAAAATCGGTGTAATTCATTAACATGTACTGTTCAAAAACATTTTAAAACTCATTCTTGATCACTATTTATGATTATTGATGATCATAGAGAGCTGAACAGACCTTTTAATCCCAGTTGCATTGCACAGGCCCTGTCTTGTTGATATCAGTATACGCGTTACTATGGAGACGTGTTAATACGGAGTTGTCAATCAATTTGGTGGGCGGGGAAACTGCACTTTACGTCACGTTGCAGTGGGCCTTAAAATGGTAGGGATTTGAATCCCACTGTAAAAAAAAAGACTTATTGTATTTATATCACCTTAATATGACTGTGAACACAGTTCTGTCCAAACAGGGTACAAAATTTTCATCATAGGTGCCCTTTAATGATGTTCACTACTTTATTTTGACAAACTTTAAAAATTCTTTTCGCACAACACAAAAAAGTACACTGTCAATCAACATCACACAGCTCCGAACTATTCTTCAAGATAGTTAATAAATTAATTTTATATTATTATAAATTTAATTAAAAAAACAGCCACACAAACAACTGACATTTCACCAAATATTTTGTTATTAGCTTACTAGCAAAAGCCTACCCAAAAATAAAAAATTCCAAACCTGTTTGAGCTTCTTTTTTTCCATTGAACACAACGGAAGATATACTGAAGAATGAAAAAAAAAAAAAAAAAAAAGCCATCGACATCTATAGAATTATTGTTCCTACTACGGATGATGTTAGCTGCTTTTGCATCATTCTTCAAAATATCTTGTTTTGTGTTTAACAAAAGAAAAAAAAAAAGTTAAACACTTAAGTGTGAGTAAAAGATGAGGAAATTTTAATTTTGGGTGGAGTATCCTTTAATATGGTCTCATGTGACTTTACCATATTACAAATTTTATATTATTTTTCACCTTGGTGAGGATGAGAGAGATCTCTTATAAAAACGTTGACCCTAAACTATTGAACACTGATGCACATCAGACTTGCTGCCTTACAAGCAGTGACAAATTATATAGCTAGAGGTCAACAGCAGTTCCAACAAGAACTCCGTGAACCTGACGAACTTCAGATTTTCAGAAATCTAATTGTAATGCAGCATGATGCTCATTTGAATAAATGAGATGTTGTTATATATTCCGAGATTTTGACCCCCTGTAGCATTTAAATCCTCATTAATATTTCAAGCTGGGCCCTCTGGGATCAAAACGGTCAGGAAAACTCAGCAGCTCAAAGTGACAAAGTGGCATTTGGGCATTCAGATCCTACTGCTGTTGCTCCTGGACTGAAGTAACCCTTCGTACACTTTGGCAATTTATATTTCCATTTATCTGCCAGGCACTTTTTATGCAAAGTAACTTCCGGAGTGAATGTTTTTTTTTTTTTTATCAGTGGATGCGCTCCAAGGAAAATGAATCAATGATATTAGCTTCGTTTGAGCTACAGGAACCTATTTTAATGTTCACCAATTTCAAGTTTAGCTGATGGATTCCTCTGAGGAATTAATATAAACAGGTGTTATGGACAGGTTACGCTGCCACACACATAATGGATTTTAGCTCACAAACAAACTGCGAATGAGACACTGATATACTGGCGACTCAATCAAAGATGCAGCAAATTACAAAGTAAATAAATACCACAGACGCAAAATAATTACAAAAAAAAAAAAATAGAGCTGCATGGTTTCTCTGTGCATGAGCATAACAGCTTGACTCAGCAGATGTGAAGAAAAACAACAACAACAACAAGGGATGAGTGTTGCGTGCTCATGAGTTAACATTTTTTAGCACAGAGTCGACGCTTGCATGACACATGCAGAGGTCGTTTGCCCCACTGGCTGATTACCTGCTTGCCATGGACCAACATAGTAGTAATATGAGGAGCTATAGAACCAGCAAACTTCTGGATAACGGCCGCAGCACTACGCACCGCCAGCCTACATAAGGTTTGCGTGTTTAAAACATATATACAGTTAAAGTCAAGTATTAGCCCTCCTGTGATTTTTTTTTATTATTTTTCAAATATTTCCCAAATTATGTTTTTATCCGATATATTTTCAATAATGTTTATTCTTCTGGATAAAGTCGGATTTGTTTTATTTTAGCTAGAATAAAACAATAAACCTTTTAATTTTTTAAAAAACATTTTAGGGCAATTATTATTAGCCCCCTTAATATATATATATATATATATATATATATATATATATTTTTTTTTTTTTTTTTTTTTTTCCGATAGTCTACAGAACAAACCACTGTTACACAATGACTTGCCCAATTACCCTAACCTGCCCAGTTAACCTAATTAACCTAGTTAAGCCCTTAAATGTCACTTATAGCTGGATACTAGTATCTTGAAAAATATCTAGTAAAATATTATTTACTGTCATCATGGCAAATATAAAAGAAATCAGTAATTAGAAATCAGTTAATAAAACAATTATGTTTAGAAACCTGTTAAAAAATCTTATTTGTATTAAACATACATACAGGGGGCTAATAATTCAGGGCGACTAATAATTCTTACTTCAACTGTATATGCGCATAGTTTGTTCAATTTGATGCAAGATTAAAAAATACAACACACAAGTAAAAAAATTGTTATTGGCATAAACATATCAAAGGTCACCATGGTAATAAGAAAATAAGTGTAGTTTCACATTAAAGAATAGAGGAAAATCCTACCAAAGCTTCCTGCTGCCAGCTCTTCTGTAGATTCTCTCCAATTCATCCTTAAGATTCTCTAAAAATATAGAAAGATATATTCAGACACTATGTACTATTTAAAACATCATCCCTAAACAGGGCTTGACATTAAGACCTGCCAGGCTGCCACCTCACCAAACACAGGTAGATTTCAGCTGTGGCGGGTTGGACAGACACCTCCATTAGCCACTTTAGTCAGTTGACAATAATTTTTAAATTGCCAGTGCTGGCTCATTACTAAATATTAGAACTTAGGTTAAAACAATATGCGTGCAAATCTGATCAGCATGACTGATAATTGTTCATGCGAGCAAAAGAAAGCAGGTGAATACCGGATAAGAGCATAATCAGGCGATTAGTGAGACACAGGCTCTCCTCACTCAATGACGAAGGCTCCAGTGTCGCAAAGCAACCGTAACTGGAAACACAACTGGTGCGATTGGTTCTATTTAAAATAGAATGGAAAATAGCGATGCTTGTGCACTCACAGTTCTACTCCAGCTTTTTGTTAGCAGCAGTGGTTGCCACTTTCACAATTTATATGAAATTGCATGTGACACTAAAAAAAAACAACAATCCATTTGCTCATGCTCATTGAACAAGCTCATACACAACACACTCAAAAAAAGTGAAATGAACAAGGAGGCATGTGTAAATAACACATAATAAAAATCAAGTCATTTTAGCAGGCCAAAGTTAAATATATGCACATAAAATATATTTTCCCAATAACAAAATGGTGGCTCGGGAAAATGGTGAGTGGCTGGTAACATTGGAAATCTACTAGCCACAGTGGCTGGTAATCAAAAAAGTGAATGTCGAAATCCTGTCCCTGGAGTATATATAGACCCGAACATTTGCTGGAGCTACATAAAAATAAATAAAAAATCCCATATAAGTGCTTATTTAATCGGTCCATGCTTGTTCAAGAGTGTGAAAAGTCTTGAGCGTTTAGATAAACTGTAACTATGGGAATTATAGCCATGACAAGGGTGTGCGAGCTAGCATTGCCAAACCCACTTGCTTAGCCATGAAGGCACTAAATGGATTACAGCTGTGGACATTTCATTCAGATGAGCTGTAAAAGCAGCCATGCAGTAAGACGTGTCCTGTGGCTCTTGAAAAAGCTCACTGCTTCAATAGTGCTAAAATACTCTGGCCTGACACATCTAATCATTAAAAGGGCTGGCAAAAAACTGTCGCAGAAATCAAGAGAAACATTTGATTGCACTTTAAAATAAATCCTTTAATTAATTAGGGGTTGTTTCCAGGGGAGCGGTTGTACCAGCAGTGCGCAAGTTACAAATGTAGCCTAGTTGCGACATATAAAGGGACACTAAGTTACAACTTATGCACTAATAGTCTTATGCTGCACCACTGAACTTAAACTTTAAACAGAACTCTACGTTCCAACTGAATATTTTCGGAAGCCTTTTCCTCTAAATAGTGGTAGAAAAGAGATCAAATTACATTGAGCTTGTGATGATAATAAAGGACCACGAGTTGTCATAATATTGTTTTTCAAAGACTGTTTTGTGGTTTGATTCAACTGAAATGAGAATTACTTCATTACTGAATTTTTAAAGCTTTTAGTATCTCTAACTCCTTCATGTTGTGTTCATGTGAATTTCAGGCTATTTAACAATTTGAGGGGTTATGATTGGGTTTTTACGCCATTCCATGTCACTGCATTACCTTACAGCGTAAGGTAACAAACTATTAACTATATTCTGCCTCAAAGTGGATCTATCACGCCCATTTTTACAAGATAAAAAAATAAAATAAAATAAAATTAATTAAAATTAATTAAATTAAACAAAATAAAATAAAAATTTTGATGTCGCTAGAGCAGGGGAGCCCAAACTTTTTCTAAAATACGGCCAAAAACCAAACTTTCTTAAGGCTGAATTTATTTAATGATATTTAACAATACCTACAAAACATTACTATCATTTATCGTTTATAAAAGAATAGAGTTGCACTGGTTTTTGCCTTCATTTGCTGGCCTATATCTTCTGCATAGTTCTCTGTTTATCAAGTGACAATATTTACGCTTTAAAACATTTTGATTTATTTACATTTAATTGAAACATTTAACTTTAGTTTGCTTTTTTGTAGCTCAGCAATAAAACAAACACACAAACAAGGTTACGTCAAGTTAGAAATGAGGATCTCTGTTATAGGCATTTGCCCCAACCCTCTCCATCATTCTCAGATAGGATGTGGGACCAGTGGGCCCCACTTTGGGCATCTCTGCCCTAGATGGTGTTTATGAAGTGTCAGCTCAGAATACCTAACTCATAATGTTGCATAACTCTTTGAAGCTGCCCCTTTTAGGCATTGATCCTAATTGTGCTATTTTGGTGACTGTTGCTTTAAATTCAAATGAGATTGAATTCTCAGCCCTATTTAGGAGAGCAGGGCAACAAATGCCCATGTGTCAGCATAGTAGCAGTTTCAAAACAAGACTAACATCCTATACTAATGAGGGAGAGAATAATGGGCATGGCTTTCCCCCACTGATGACATGTACAAACGGAGAATGTCAATCAAAGTTTTTTGCATGTTTGTTTTTATTAAGTGTGATCATAAAAAATTAAATTAATATTTTTTTCCCATTAAAAGCTGGTTATATTCACAAACTGTTGCCACACAACTGTGTTTAACCCCCTTATAAAAGTGATTTTGCACAACAGGTCCCCAGTAAGAGCAAATGGTGCGATCCAAAGTACAAATTTAGATGCAAACTAGCTAGTAGTTATACTAAACCTTTAGAAGTGCCCAAACTCGCTCCTGGAGGGCCGGTGTTCAACAAAGTTTAGTTCCAACCCCAATCAGACACACCTGGACTAGCTAATCAAGCTCTTACTAGGCTTTTAAAAACATCCGTGCAGGTGTGTTGAGGCAAGTTGGAGCTAAAATCTGCAGGACACCGGCCCTCCAGGGCCGAGTTTGGGCACCCCTGCTCTAGTGCATTCAAATTTAAGCAAAAGCTCATGAACCTTAACCCTACCAAGATTACAAAACCACATACCATTTGTATTGAAGAATTCAGGGCCTTCTTTTTTGAGGAGAATGCTGGCCAGCTGGGCTTGACTGGCCAGACAGTCACAATCCTAACAACAGAATATGAGTTACTTAAGGCAGCAAATATTGAACACACAATCATTTACAGACATGATCGTTAAGCTCACGTTGAATTTCTGCAGAATTTCAAATGTGGATTTATTGAACCATTCCTCGTCATTGATCTCAGGCTGCTGCTCCAGATCAGAGGCATTGGGTGTGCTTGTTTGACGCTTCACCTTCGAGTGCTTGGGCAACTCCAGCTCCTCAAAGCTCTTAAATTCAGGGATCCTACAATACAGAACAGCGGAAATGTTTTAAAGGCAGATGAATGCATCAAAATAAGTGAGTTTCTTTCTGTTGCCTCAATATATGAACAATATTGATCGTAAAGCTGAGGAAAATAAAAAGGTGTAAATGGAGGTTAATTCTTACTCAGCTTCATTGACGCGTAGAAAATCCAATTGCTCCACCACAGCGCCTGATATCAGGGTCTATAGAGTTACCACAGAAAACACAGATATTTATTGAAGACGTGATAATTCATGTAATATGATCTACTGTAAATGACACACTAAGCAACTACAGAACCGAGGGACGAATGGAGTTACTACGTAACAAAGGATGGATAGCTGATTAGAACCATTTTCACAATGCACATCCATATTAATGATTAATGTATCATTTCAGTTCTAAAACAGACTGCTGGAAATTGTATATAATTTCAACGTTTCTTGGCTTCTCCTTCACATAAATGGTTTAACTCAAATAGTTTGATAGATCTTCCATGAACTTCTACTCCATTTTCTGTCACATCATCTGTCAAGAATTCAGAAATATGTACTTTAACTAGGTCTCTCCAAACATTTTAATTAGATTTTTTCTCAGCCAGTCATTGTTCTGCTGAAATTCTGAAATGGAAAATCACATAATGGATTGTCTTAACGCAAGCTATTGAATTAACTTTGAAAGGTTAAAATAATTTTGACCTTGTATCTGTCAAATGTGAACCTTCAATTCCACATCATTATATAACCCCTGGACCTTTCTGATACATTTCATGGCAAGCTTATGTTCACATCTGACTCTGTCCAATCCAATCAAACACTAGCTGTTAAAAATCAAGACTCTGCCTACATTTTCTCCAATTTTATCTTTTGTTTTTACTTCAGGGTTGTCATAAAATGAGAAAAGTATCTATGAAGAATTTGTGTTTTTTTCAATCATAATATTACAAAGCTGCTCAATATCTCACACTGACAACACTATATTTTCCTTATTATGCTGTATATGCTTTACTTCACACATTTAGAGCTGCTTCCTTGCTCGTTTTTTTGTTCGCTTTGTTTTTCTGGCATTTTTTGAAACTTGAGGTGCTGTCCTTGGAGACATTTTGACAGGCTGAGCAATTTTGGAAACATTTACCACAAATCATTCTTCACCATTTAGAGGTAATGGCTCACACGGTGGTCAATGGAGTCTATGAACCTTGAAAAATGACTGTTACTATTTTCAACCTCATATGTACAGCTCTATTTTTCCTTTAATGCACCACTATCTACAGGTAGATGTTTTAAGCTGTCTGACCGAATGATTCAATATATTGTTCTTGTCAGTTCAAACGATTGGGGTCAGTAAGAATTGGGTTTAAAAGGAAATTATACATTTTTAGCACGAACGTATAAACATGCTCAAAGGAGACAGTAAAGACATTTATAATGTTATAAAAGACTGGAATGCAATTATTTTGTGCTATCCTAAAAAGATAATGGTTTCCACAAAAATATTACATTGGACATAGATTTGTACACTGATAATAATAAAAAAGATCCTTCAGTTTCAATTCAACATATTAAAATGATTTCTGAAGAATAATTTGACAAGGAAGACTGGAATAAAGCCTTCTGAAAATTCAGCTTTGCCATCAAAAGATTACATAACATTTTCAAATTATTGAAACTTTTAATAATGTTCGATTATTATTTGTTTAACCAATGATGTGCTTTGGTTAAGTCACATGATGTCCAGTGTTTTTCTGTGGCTTGATTTCTGACAGACTGGCATTTATTGAGAGTACTTGCAATTTTAAACATCGATAAAAACAAAGATCCAAAAAAAAAAAAAAAAATAGGAAACATCACCTCCAGTAAGTTAGGATGACCTATTTACTACTCCAAAAAGTTTTTATCAATTTGTTTTTTGTAAATCAATATGCTGCCAAAATAATGGCATGTGCAATATTGCAATAAGTTAGCTAGCTAGCAAGCTCAGCTTTTATCTTTTAAGTTCTAAAAATAACAACATGAAGGCTAATAATATAATGTTGATTAGTAATATGTTAATGACGTTGCATTATAGATAAAACAAAATATTAATGGCAATATCTTTAGAAATAAATACAGGGAACAGTGTATTAGCGAGCACCACAATGTTCTATGGTAAGTGAAAGAAGAAAAGGACAGAACTGTCTCTTCCAGCAGATGAAAATGAGGATGAGATTTTACTGACCGTGGGAATGGTGTAGATTGAACATGTGATGTAGAGCAGTAATAGACACAGTTCATGTAAGTTAGTTCAGAGGTATATAAGACAGGTGAAATACAGTATATAGTACAATGTATAAACATTGTTAGCTAGTAGCTATATTATTCTGATGCATATGGAGACATTATATAATAACAGCAAAAGCCAGATCCTCACTTCGCTTACACTGGGACCTTGGTACAGAAAGAATAAACTGATCAAAAGACCTTAGAGACCTACCAGGATTATATACATGTAAGAAATCTGATAAATAAGATGGTGCCAGACCATCTAAGGATTTATAAACATAAATTAACCATTTAGAATCAATCCATGACCTAACACGCAGCCAGCCCAAAGAGGAAAGAACTGGGGAAATGTGTTCATGCCTGCGAGTCAATGTCAGAAGTCTCGTAACCGAATTTTGGACTAATTGCAGTTTATTCAAAGCATTTTGACTGATATTAAACTGTGTTAAAGCTTATAATACTGCAACACCAATTAAATCAAAACAAACAACATTTCAAACAACAAAATTATTAATTATAAGGACAGTTCTAAGTTAGACATTTCTAAAGCCTGGTTTATACTTCTGCGTCAAGTGATCAGCATAAAGCCTGGTTTTTACTTCTGCGTCAAGTGATCAGCATAAAGCCTGGTTTATACTTCTGCGTCAGGTGACCGGCGTAACCCACGCCGCATGCAATGCGCGTAGCTGTGCATTTATACTTCTGCGCGCTGTCTCTGTTGGTCTGCATTAACACTTTCGAAACGCTAGTTGGCAGTGAGGTGTTAATGTTCCTCTGTCGAGTTTCTTCGCTGCTTTTTTGCTTTTCCTGAACACTTCCGGGATGTACTAGTGGCTCAAACTCGCTCATTTTGAGGCAGGAACCGGCGGACGTGCAACAACCTTAACTATGAGGTAAACACAAAACAAAACTTTCCATCCGGAGCTTCTTTACGGGACTCCACACTTGTAAACAATCGCTCCATCAGGCTCGCACCATTCACGCGGCTCTCGGTCCCGCCCAGACTCGTCAGCGCTACCACACCGACCAATCACAGAGCTTGCGCTACGCGTCGTTGCGACATTTAGTTACTTTTTTTGAGAGGTGCAGGTCAGCGACGCCGACGGCGAAGGGCTATGCGTCAGCGCCGTAGCATACGCCGGCGTTTGACGCAGAAGTATAAATCAGCCTTAACCCACAGCACATGCAACGCGCGTAGCTGTGCATTTATACTTTTGCGCGATGTTTCTGTTGATCTGCATTAACCATTCTGAAACGCTAGTTAACAGTGAGGTGTAAATGTTCCTCTGCGTCAAGTTTCTTCGCTGGTGTTTTTTTTTTTTCTTTTTCGATACGCTTCCTGAATGTACAAGTGGCTCAAACTCACTCGTTTTGAGGCAGAAACCAGCGGACGTACAACAACTTTAACCATAAGGCAAACACAAAACAAAACCTTTCATCCAGAGCTCCTTCACGGGACTCCACACTTGTAAACAATAGCTCCATTGGGCTCCATCGCAGCTCTCGGTCCCGCCTAGATTCGTCAGCGCTACCAAGCTGACTAGTCACAGAGCTTGCGCTACGTGTTGTTGCGATGTTTAGTTACATTTTTTGAGAGGTGCGCGTCAGCGACATCGACGACCACGGCGTAGGTCTATGCGTCAACGCATAGCCTGCACCGTAGCATACACGTACGCTTGACGCAGAAGTATAAGTCAGCCTTAAGTTAGATCCATTATCATAAAGTACCTTAAAAAAAATACCCAATTTTTTAAAGCACATCAAGTTAGGCCATTCTACGAAAGAAAAATAGTCCAATATTTGTTTAATAGATCTATTATAATGCGTGCAATAGAGAGTTATGTCAAATTTCATAACTGGTTGTAGTAAAGTCTGCTTGTGTTCAGTCGTCTTAATGTAATTAGCAAGAATTACTTCACTTTGTTCCAAGGTAAAGAGACCAATATGGGTAACTAATTACTGTATTAATTATTTCAATAATATTTTTAAAATGCAATGCTGTAATGCAACAACATGAAACAATGCATTAGTAGAAATGAACACATTTCAAATTCGATCCTTTCTTATAAAGAGCAGCACACCTGAAGTCTATCCACATGCACTTTGACTCCTCCAATGTTTCCCTTCTTGAAAGATGCCAGCATGTCCAGGATGGGGTTAAATCGGCTCCCCCTAGAAACCAAAATATCATTGTTCTCTTAAATCACTGTAAACAAAACCAAGCTCTGGCTGATGAAAGAGACTTTTACTTAATGTTGTCCTCTCTGATAAGTACGAGAAAAAGAGGCCGTCCAGGCATCTTCCAGCACTGCTTAATAAACTGCAAGGCATTCTAGAAAAACACATAAACACAGCCGAATTAATACACACAGTGAAGACAGCAGGAGGAATGCTCTGTAAAACTCTGACACTGATGATTTATGGGGAACGTTTCTGTCCATTGCCTATTTTCTTCCCCAAATTTGATTCTTTCTCTATATAGAAAGATAGACAAAGTATGGAACACAAAGTGAGCCCTCTTTTCACAGCGTCTGAGGAACCATTGGGGTGTGATATCAGCCGCCTCACCTTAATGTCATCTATCAAAAGCATGACATCCTGCGACAAGTAGAAGTCGCTGAGATCGAAGACAATTGGATAGCACACCACAGTCTTTCCAAGGATTCGATAAATCTGAGGAGGAGAGAAATGACCCACTGTATAACTGGCAACTATATGGACGAATGTTAGATCTAGACATATACTTTACCTCAAACTGCAGATTTAACATGCCATATTTTAAAAAGAGACAGACACATGAACATCCCTCAAATGCTGTCTGTGTTTCTGAGAAGCTAATTAGCTTCTAAAGTCCTGCTCATTGCCCACCAAGTAAACAATCAATTCTTGGTCACATACATGTGATCATTACTCTGGAGTTCCTATTTTTATCTTCCGCAAATGTTTAATGTAGACAGTAGGGCTCAGCACATTATGAAATGAAAGGATGTTAACATCTGACTAAATATAGCTATATATAGATAAATTATTTATGTTCTTTGTGTGTAATGCAAAAGAGAGCAATTTTAATTATCAATGATTGTTAAATAATTTTAAAATGATAAAGTTTGTTGTCCTATAACGCCTTGTCTAGTCCTCCCTTTCCCTGCCAGCCCAGTCCAAGTTTGTTTTTGTGTTAATGTTTTCCCCCTCTGGAATGTTTGTATTCTTTTTTTTGTTTTATTTTATAATAAAAAACATGTTTTTGTGCCTGCAATTGAGTCCTAATCCTTCCCCAACCCCAACCATGACAATTATTATATTACTATTAAATAGTATACTGCTGAGCCATATTTAGACACACACGTAATCATGTACTAAAATAAACAAAACAAATGGCATAATTAAGGAAATTGCAATAATAAAGCATGTGACCACAGCTGCTGTCTATTGACATACTTGTACAAACTCTGGAATTTACTGGAATTATGTCAAACGATGGGGTTACTAAAATGACACTTACAATATATGTTTGGCTATTAGCTAAACAGAAATTTTGAGACTATAGATTGACTTAATCTTTATTCTTTGCATCACACACTGACATTGCTTTACCAAATAGCTATTTCGGTATTATCCTGCATATTATAAGCATTTCTATACTCACCCACCAGCCACTTTATTAGATACTGCTCAAGTGCTCGTTAACGCAAATTTCTAATCAGCCAATCACATGGCAGCACACAATGCATTTAGACATATAGACATGGTCAAAACAATATGCTGCAGTTCAAATTGAGCATCAGAATGGGGAAGAAAGGTGATTGAAGTGCCTTTGAACGTTACATGGTTAATGGTGCCAGACAGGCTGGTCTGAGTATTTCAGAAACCGGGATCTGCTGGGATATTCATGCACATTCATAACGCGCCGTGTCAGAAACGCGAATCATCTCAGACTGGTTTCCTGTACATGAAAACGAGTTCACTGTGTTCAAATGGCCTCCACAATCACCAGATCTAAATCCAATAGAGTATATTTGGGATGTGATGGAAAAGAAGTTTCACATCATCGATGTGCAGCCGACAAATCTGCAGCAACTGTGTGATGCTATCATGTCAATATGGACCAAAATATATGAGAAATATATATATTTTTATACATTATATAAATCTTTTAACCTTAAGGATTAAGGCAGTTCTGAAGACAAAAGGGGGTCCAACCCAGTACTAGTAAGGTGTTCCTAATAAAATGGCGAGTGAGAGTATATATATTGTATTCAAAACAAATACAACATTTTTACATATACTGAAGCACCTTTAAAAACATCACTTTTTGTCTTCTAGAAAAACAACAATAGCAAATATACAAGTATGTAACAACATGAGGCTTTTTTGTTCTTGCTAGAATGAACTGTTGCTAAGGGAGTTGGACTAATATTTAATTATCACAGTCACTATTGGCCTCGGAGTTATTATGAGGATTAACCACAAAGAACTGTAATGAGCAGCCGCTGAAGTAAATGAGGAAATGTTTGCTTTCTCTATCAGGAGAGGTTGTGACAGTTCACAGAAGACACTGTTTACCTTGCAAGTGCCAATGCAGCCAACGGGCCTCTCCGGTCTCCCGCTTAAGCCAAGTTTCTTATTGACGGCAAGGAAGCGGTATGCCTGGAAAAAGAGAGACACACACACACATATATCACACTCATTAAGGTCTAGAATGCCTGTTTGTGTCTGTTATGTATAAAGGTATTATCTCAGCCATTATATTGTAGTACAGGCACCCTGTGGTTTTATTCATAACATGTATGTTTTGTTCAGTAGTTGATTCAGAAAGCCTGGTTATTTCCCTGGAGAAGGTCAACAAAACAGTAGTGATGGGATATGTGTAGGCTTTTGTATTACTGATTCACACTGGAGACTCCAGGTATTGTGAAATGCTGCTCTTTTTACAGAATAGCAATTGTTGAGCTAGATTTCATTAGATAAAGCTGTATCACACCAAGATCTCCTGTTAATTTGAATATTAATATCTCCTCATATTTGACATAATACAGATAAAAAATGAACATTCATCATGAAGCAGACAGGCTAGTTTCCTTTACGGTTTTAAGTTGGTTAAACACTGCTGTGATATTTTTCACAAGGTCATAGTTTCGTTAATCAAGACAAAGACATCTGAGCAATTTTTTTGAACTTAGCACTGACAACACTGACCTCAAGGAAGCTGCTCTCTTGAGTATTGCTAATTACTATTTTAGCTGATACTTTTATCTGCCACAACTTACAGTTCAGTTATTACAGTCTCTGCTTGCTTGAAGCAACCTGATGTTAAGTACTTTACTCAAGGGTACAATGGGGATAGTTCATGGTTCATTGGTTTTCTTCGGGTTCCAACTAAAAGTATCGGACTAGCCAGAGTTGTACAGTATATCGTTCTAAAGATTAAAGCAAATCTGCACATTGCAATCATGATGCAAGCATATTAAGTACTATGCTTAACAGAAATGCCTATTAAGTACACACAGAAATGCCAACCGACCCAATAGGGACTCGAACCAGTGACCTTCTAGCTGTGAGGCAACAGTGCTAACCACTGACCGACTGTGCCGCCCATTTCTAATATCCATGTATGCAGTTCTTCCCACACATCGACTTTACTTTGGCAGGCTGCCCAGGTATATAAACGACCACTCAAGTATATTTGGTGAAATTTCTTTTATCATTATCAGCCTTTTACACTTTTTTTTGCATCTGTCTAATAGCCAAACATCCACGATCAATTAACTAGTGGAAAATCTCTTCTCGCCCTACACGTTTCCTACAGTACTTCTTGTTGTGTGTGCTCAAGAACTGTCACAGACAGTGCTCTGCAAAGACCTACAGAGACGTGCCTTTTTGGGATATAAAAATGTGTCCACCCAAGGTTTCTAAAAATCTCCTAAAATGTCCGGGATTCGTCTTTTGGTTTTGCTTTAAAAGCCTTCGTCGTTTTGTATTTTAAGCCTGATTTACTTTAGCTTGGCAGCCTCAAGACCAAGACAAATATTACATAATTAATTATTTGGTCTAAACGACTCAGATAAACTTTTCTTTTTCCTCAGAGAGAATGAACTTGCATCTAAACTGGCTGAAAATATATGTATACTGTTAGAAATGGTTAATTAACCCATTGACCATTCAAATAATCGACATCTTTTTATTCTTGTAAATATTAAACTTTTTAGAGATTTTTTGTTCCATAGATGCTTTTATTCTTTCGTCAATTATTTCTCATTTTTTGTATATATATTTTTATTTTATACATGATTTGGCAATACTGAACAAAATTTCAGCATTCAATTTTACTTGTCAGTGGTTGTACATGGCTCCTGAATAGAATCAAAGTAAAACAAATAGTGGATATCTTTTTTATTCCAACAGTCTTTAAAAAAAACTTTATCCCATTGAAAAGAAACAGTGTATAATAAATAAAAAATATTGTTACAAATCACTTTTTTTGTCGCATGTAGGTAACCATGGGCCGTGGGTAAAAGGTGTTTCAATCCGGCTACCACCGCAAGTATATTTCAAACCTGTAGGAAGCACTGTGTATATTTAAATACGTATAACAGAAATTTTTAGTTATAGTTTTATGAACATGTACATCTTTGTGAAGAATAGTCTTCATGCTGTATTCCTCATACAGACTCAATAACCTGTAAGTTGTGGGTTTTTCTGTTGCACATGCTGTTTTTGCCTTTAGTTTAATTGCCTTCTTTTGAACTTTGAGTAAAGAGTCCCTAAGAAACAAAACGATGACAAGGAAATTAGATATCTGAGTCAGAGTACATTGCAACATCAACACATTAACCACTACCACCTTGACAATCGAAACTAATACTAACACTAGACATAAAATAACTTCAACCAATACTAGGGAAAATTGCAGATTGCGTTTAGACCACAGTGATAACAGGAAATTGTAGCCATGTCTCTCTCCCATTCTACTCACTATTTTAGTCCACCCACATGGATATTTATGGCCCTTGTCACTGCTCAGAATTAATCTAAATCTATGGGACCTTTCTTTCCTTACTTGGCCAGATAAGTGGAAATCAAAAGTCTGATCGTTTGGTGAAGCGTAGCAGCATAAAATGCTAAGAACAAATCCATCGCTTTCTGTATGCTTCTTTGGCTATTTTTATGGCTGTAATGTTTAAATTTTTTCTTAACACCCAAACTGTATTTGGCTTGACTTTTAAAGGGCACCTATAATGGAAATAATCTTTTGTCAGCTGTTTGAACAGAACTGTGTGTAGGTATAGTGTGTCCTTAGTCATTCTGGACTGATATGTAGGAGTGCGACTTCCCTGCCCACCGAATTGATCGACAGCCACATATTAACATGTCTTCGCAGTAAGGCGTATAATAATATCAACAAGACAGAACGTGCGCAAAGCATCAAGAATTATACGATCTGTTGAGCTCTCTGTGATCATCAATCATTGTCAAATGTGATCAAAAATGAGTTATACAAGATTAAAATGTTTTTAAAACAGTGCATGTTTTAAATTAATTACAGCAATTTTACCGTCTTTACTATCACCACAGCCACATGTCAGTACAATTATAAACAAAGACGCTTCAATCTCGGTTTTTGGTTGATAAATCAGGATTATTTTGTACATTAAAATAACAGATATCTATACAGCAGTGTATATTAACATGTATCAGGCTGTTACATTCACATGTGTGTGTGTGTGTGTGCGTGTTCGTGTGTGAACTTTGTAATGACATTGTGTGTGACTCATCGTTCTCATCAACCCATTAACTCCACAACAAATATATCAAACTGTAGAACTGTACTGTAGTACAGGGGTTTTACAACTGTGTGGCGCGCCAGGATCTTTCACTTACTTTGAAGACACTACTGACTACGTTTACATGGACATCAGTATAGTTATTTGCCTTAATCTGAATAAGACAATAATATAATTACATGAAGTGCCTTTTGAATGTTGCGTCACCAGGCTATTCACAATTTTCATGCAATTTTGGGTGTTTCATCTTAAATTTTTCTACTTTAAGTGCAGTTCAGCAGTTTCACTCACACTCATGAAAATTTCATTCATGCACCGATGATAAACTGGGGTATTTGACAAGAATATGAAGTAAGGACTGGTGGAAGAGTATTGTTTTAATGAAATTTGATACCGCACGCTGAATGAAAAAAAAAAAACTTGCGCATTTCGTGATGTGTGTGTGTGTGCGGTCCTTGACAGCTGTGTGTGTGGATCTTGTCACAAAATGCAGTGAAAAGTCCTACATGACGGTAATAGTTTGATTGTGGTGTTTACTTCAATAATGCCCCTAATATATGCATACTCCACATCTTAATTCAATTTCTGTTCAGTTCAGTTATAACTTTTGTCGGATTAGGGTAAACAAAAATCGCTGTTTACATAGTACACTCTTAATCAGAGTATTGTGTTAATTGTATTAAAATCCTAATAAAGTATTGTTGCCCATGTAAACATACTCAATGTCTGACTTAACCACACCGTCAGGGCTCTGTGAACTTGGCTTTGCGAAGCAGCATTTTCTGTATGTACGTACATCAAAAGCAAGTATGCTATGGCTTACACTTTTTGACAGTGGAAGATGTTATACGGTTAGTCGTGTCAATAATCCAACTGCAGATTATGTTGTCCTCACAGAAACAGGCTTAGTCATCACAGTGAATCTGGTAAGCTGCATATTTAAGTTTAAATGTAATTAATTCTACGCACTTTAAATGCAGCAAGTAATATGTGAATGATGTTTGTACATGCATTTTAATTTTGGCTTGAGAGAGGGGTGCCTGGGTGGGGGGGTGTCTTAAAAGTTTGACAACCCCTGCTGTAGTATTTCCCACAAACATTACGTTCAATCCGCTTCTTTCATGTCTGTCACTGTGCTGTTTATCTGACACAGCTGAGGCAGAGATGAGGGATACTGCGACTGGCACGTGCGAACGGTGCCAAGAATTCTAATATTTGAAAGCTATAATAAATAATCTCAAGGGTGTTTTGAGCTGAAACTTTACAGACACACTGTGGAGACACAAAGAACTCATCTTAAAATTAGAAAAAGGGGTAAAATAGGTGCCCTTTAAAAAAAAAATTGACATAATATGAGGTTTTTTATTATCATTAATCCTGGAAGGGCCTATTCTGCAGTGGGAACCAAAATATTTGGTCCAAGCGATTGGAACGGTTCATACAGGTATATTTTTTCCAACACTGGGGTTGTAAATAGATTCCACTGTGTTTGCCATTTGTTATTAACATAGCAATAAATTCCTTTTTTTTGCACATAATGCACCAATGTTGAGGTCTATTGATAATAAATAGTTTTTTGGAGCAGAGTCTGCTTCCTCATTTCTTTTGATTCCACCTCGTGTATGAGCCTCGGTAATAAAAAAGCCAGCGTGTGCTAACATATTCAGAACATTAGATGGAGCTCTATTTCTCTGTGACCTCCTGCAGTCTGGCATTCTCAGAATAACACTCCAGTACAAAAGTGCACTGCACAACACGACGAAAAGAGAGAGGAAAAAGAAAAACACCACGACAATAAGCCCCTGCTGAGGAGCATCCAGCTCATATCCAACTGAACCAGGAAAATAGCTGCTAATTTAGACAAAATCCAGTTGTCAAAACGAACATTTTTCGAGAGAGCTTTATGCTCCAGAACTCTTTTTTTTTTCTCTCAGTGCGGATCTCTGTACCTTAGAAAATTTGTGTGCAGAATAGCAATGAGGGGAAGACACAACTGAATCGCGAGTGCCCTGCCTGTAATCAGGAGCTCAACATGCCTGACACGAAACCTGAAAATGTCACGCGTGTTAAGCCTGTAGCACATCAAGAGGGGCAGTGGAGCCAGAGCGCTGATGTTGAAACAAACCTTTTTAATACGCAGGGTTCTGAAATAAAGACGTTCACGCTAGTACCGCTTTCAGCAGCCTTGCTGCTTGGATTAGAAACAGCATGTCAACCTGTAAAGCACCATTTTAGTTGCACTTGTTATTTTCATGATTATTCCAGAATATCAGAAGGAAGGACTTGTAAATATGAGCATCACAAATTAGTACATGTATAACAAATCATATTGCAGCATTTATGCATCTATAAGAGCATTTTATTGAGATCTACCCACATTTTCTCAACATTTTCTAAACATCTAATAAGAGATTAATAATAACTAATCACAGACTTTTCTGCATGGATGCAATGGTGAATCCGATTGATTAGTTTACAGGTGATCAACACTGACAGCTGATCCTGAGTTTGCAAATGCAGATGATAATCAACGCAAAAGAAACATGATAGGAACCTTGACAGTCACAAAGAAGCTTCAAAGTTAAAGTAATAGACATCAACAGTAATCTGTACAGTGTCATCACGCTGTGAAAAAAAAAGGAAGGTTCCACCCAATTTAAAAGGATTAAACACAAAACAGTTAAGTTGTGCCCCCCAAAAAAACATCAAGAATTGTGTTGTTTCAGCTCATTTTAAATATGTAGTTTGATCAAGCAGCAAAAATCTTTTTTTTTATTGCACTGTGTAGATGGAGTAATGCCGCATTCACATGGGGCGTCAGCATCAACACTTCCCATTCACTTTGAATGGGTGACGTCAGGCATTGCCATACTGAATTGTGAATCCATCGGCGCCGCTTCAGTGGCATCGCTCGCAGTGGAAGTTAGGATATTCTCAACTTTTCAAGCTCCAAAGGAAGCAACAGCCAATCAGATTGCTTTATTCAAATAGCCCAGCTTAGACAGTAGCTGATTGCGGATTAATTTTATAGGCTGATGCTGCTATGACAATTGCGTCAGCCCCAACTTCAGACTCAGTTAATCGCTGACGCTGAAGCCCCGTGTGAATGCATGGTAATAGCTAATAAGCATTGCAAGCAAGCAATTATTTTTAAAATTATGATTCAAATTGTGTAATCAGTGTAAATAAGACAGCCTAGAAGGTGTCAATGATTATAGTGTTTCCCAGAGTTAGATCTGCACTCACTGGAGGGTTCTGGTGTTGTAGTGTTGCTAGATTTGTTATATGCTGTAGGCATATAGAGACTACAAATGGGGTTGCACTTAATTACTGCAAAAAATGTTTCTCTTAGATTTTTTTTTTTTTGGTTTCTAACCCAAATATCTAAAAATTCTTAAATCGAGAAGCATTTACTAGACAAGCAAAAATTATTGTTTAGCTTTAAAAAAATTATGCCAATATTAAGTGAGTTTTTCCTTTTGATATAATATTACTTTTCTTAACCAATTGGCAGATTATTTAGCTAATTTTATGGTAAACTCTAATATTTTGGGATGAGAAACAAGACAAAAACTCTAAGTAAGAAAGCATATATTGCAGAGAAGAAATTATATTTCAGTTGCCTCTTGCTACAGTATTTGTAGACTATTAGGAGTGGTTGAACTTAAAAAAAGTCGTTAAAAATTCTTTGATAAAATTTGTTGAGTGCAACAAAGATATTAGGACTAATATTATGCAGACAGTCTGTTCAAACTAACAATTAAAATGATGTCACTACAACTCTCAGAAATTAAGAATAGCACATCTGAGAATATAACACCCTAAAGCAGCAAACATGAAATAAATGAAACTACCAGTATTAGGTTGATACATGTGGTGGAGGTTATCCAAAAACATGTAGCATATTGCAAGTGTAAACAACACAAGTATTTAAATGCTAAGGAATATGCTCATTAGCTGCTTAGGCAACAGCAAGCAACCAATAACCTGCACCATGTAGTTGGAAGCAGATTGGATAAGACTTATCAGCCTGTGTGTCCAATAATTACAATAATAATAATAATAATAATAATAATAATAATAATAATAATAATAATAATAATAATAATAATAATGATAATAATAATAATAATAATAATAATAATAATAATAATAATAATAATAATAATAATAATAATTCCTTACATTAAAATAGTGCCTTTCTGGACACTAAAGGCTATTTACACATTTTTTGGGGGGGTCTCCTCATCAACCACCGGTGTGCTGCATCCACCTGGATGACGCGACAACAACCATATTGCACCAGAACAACAACCACATACCAGCTGACTGGTTGAGAGGAGACAGAGTGATGAAGCCAATTATGATATGGGGATGGTTAGGGGGCCATGATGGACAGAGGCCAGTGGGCAAGTTTGGCCAAGATGCAAAAGTTGAACCCCAACTCTTTTTTTTTTTTTTTAAAGGACATCCTGGGATTTTTAATGACCACAGAGAGTCAGGACCTTGCTTTAACATCTCGTCTGAAAGAGGCTCTTACTGAGCATTATAGAGTCCCCATCAACATATTGGGGCGTTAGGACCCACACAGACTATAGGTTGAGCGCCCCTGCTGGTCTCACTAACACCACCTCCAGCATCAACTTAGTTTTCTCATGTGATCTCCCATCCAGGTACTGATCGGGTGCAGCCCTGCTTAGCTTCAGAGGGCGACTATGTGATAGTTGCAGAGAACTAGCTGCGGGAAAGAGTTTCATGACAGAACTTCGTGTTCATCAGAATAATATGTCTCATTAGATAATATAATGTCTCACTGACTTATTTACCATGAAAGGTGACAGTGGCAGAGGTTCTCTAAAGTAGGCAGTCATGTCCAGTAAGCTCCAGCTGTCTCTTTTCGGCTGGCCACTGCATAAGCATTCGAAGAGCAAACTCAGCAAACTATCACTCTCTCTAATGCACATCGGAGCTCAGGCACACAAAACTGACCACAGATAGAACAGAGTCAAGAGAAGCAGATAATATTTCTGATTTCAAACAGCTTTCAAACCAAACTGCAGTAAATTGCACGTTCTGGTGACAAAACCTTCCCACCCACTCTCACTCCCACAGACAGAAGAACAAGCACATAAACACATTGCACATCGCATGTTTTGCTGATTACAGAGAGAATGGGCAGGAATAAATTTCTGACCCTGGACAATTTATATATTGCTACTAAAGTTCACAAAGAACATTCACATAGCTGAGAAAACATTTTTAAGAGTTCTTCGTTAAACTAATGCAATCAATAGGACACTGGCAAGGTTCAATTTGTGGTGTAAATCTTCAATAGCATGCAAAAAATAATTCACTGACTGACATGAGTGATGTGGCAGTCAATCCAAGCTGAGTGGCCACTTGATAAACTAGCCAGTGGTCTAATGGAGCGTCTGTCACAGAAATTGATCAGCCTGAAAGATTTGTTTGTTGGTCAAGATTGATTGATTGATTAAACAGCGATACCTTCACCAGTTCTTTCTGAGGCCAGATCTGAATGGGCTCCACCTGCTGCGGGGTCTGCGTTTGGATGCCATAGGTGTTGAGGAAGACCTGCAATCTGAAAGACACATAGAGGACACAAATGTATATATATATTAAAAACAACTAAACAACTAACAACTCCATTCATGGTAATGAGAGTCATTTTGCACCAGTACACTGTAAAACCCAACAGTCAACTTTATGAAATGACATGAGTGTAGTTGACTCAAAATTGACTGAAAGTTAAATCTACTCAATTGAAAAGAGTTTTGAACTCGGTGTTGAATGTAATGAGTTAATTAAATAACTCATTACTTCAACCTAAAGTGAGTTCCCAGTACTTATATAGATTAGTTTCTTTTAACTCAAATTATTTGAGGAAACAGATTGCTAGAAACCATTTGAGTTGCCATAACTTATTGAGTTTTACTGAGTACTCAATTGGTTAGAGTTCTCTTCATTTATTGGGTTTTACCTGTGCTCAAATTCACATTACTCATATAGATTATTATTATTTTTTTACTCAAATGGTTTCCTAAAATGGTTTCACTTGCCTTAACTTATTGGGTTTTACAGTATTCAGTTGGTCTGAGTTCTCTTCATTTATTGGGTGTTACTGAGCTCAAACTGCTTCGTTTACTCAAATGGATTAAGTTCACAGTACTCATTAGGATTCGTTTTTGAACTTAAATGGTTTGTTGCAATCAGTTTTCTCAAAAGGTTTCAGTTACCTTAACTTACTGGGTTTTACAGTGTAGTAAAAATGAAAAAGGTATTACAAAATGAATAACAAACTATATGGCATATAATCTACAAGGTACTGGAAATATTCCTCAAAAATTTCAGTCCATATTGAAATGAAAGCATCATGCAGTTGCTGCAGATTTCTTCTGTTTCATCACATCCCAAAGGTGCTCTATTGGATTCCGAATGTCGCAGCAGAAATTGAGACTCATCAGTGAAGGGAATGTTTTTTTTCAAGTTTCTTTTGTCCAATTTTGGTGAATCTGTGCCAATTGTAGCCTCAGTTTCCTGTTATTAGCTGAAAGGAGTGGCACCCGGTGTGGTCTTTTGCTGCTGTAGTCCTTCCGCCTCAAGGTTTGACGTGTTGTGCTTTAAGAGAAACCCTAGAGATAGTTGTGTGTGAAAATCCTAGTAGATCAGCAGCCCGACTGGCCCCAACAACCATGCCACATTGAAAGTAATTTAAAACCCCTTTCTTCCTTATTCTGATGCTCGGTTTGAACTGCACTAGATCATCTTGACCATGTCCACATGCTTAAATCCATCAAGTTGCTGCCATGTGATTGGCTGATTAGAAATTTGTGTTGGACGAGCAGTTGGACAGGTGTACCTAATAAACTGTCCAGTGAGTGTATATCAGTGTCTAAAATACAGTGTACAACATTATGTTAAAAGCATAGTTAAGTTATGTTTATCAGAGATAGTATATTACTCCCCATTGTAAATATTCTTCAGGTTTTGATGCCATTCCTGCACCACACTTATTGAGCAAATGTAAATGCATAAACAAAAAATCTTATAAAAAAAAAAAAATCAACAAAAAAAAAATCCATAATTTAAAAGACAGTGGACAAACATTAAAAAGTGTTTGTTTGGGATTATTAATCAAGCACTGAGGTATTTAATAAAGTGCACAGGGGGGATAAAATCTTGCATGACAGTGTGATTATACAAAATGAATGGTCTGAAGACACTTCTCATGTTAAGAGGTCGATGAGAATTTTGTATGCTTTGCAAGCAACAAGAACCTTTGCTCTTATTTACGCCACAATATTAAAGCAACATTACTTCATCTTTGCAGAGAAGGTGAGGTGTTAAGTGGAACTTGCAGCTTCAAATAAGGGTGTTTGTGGTGAACAAGTAATCTTGATTAAGGTTTGCAGTGTTTATAAGGGGAGGGTGGGTTAAGTGTCGGGGTGAACAGTGTTAAATGAACTGCAGAGCGGGTCTGGCTGGGACCAGCTGGCCACATGACCTCTTTCACCTCCCCGTTTCACCAGAAAAGCTTTAAAATGAGAGCGCTGATAGATGAAGGCTACAGAATAGCTCGACAATTAGTGTGCAGGCATCAATTAGACCAGAGGACAAAATTAGAGAGAGACAAAGAGAGAGAGAAAGACATGAGGAATTCATTTACCTTTGACTTTCTGCTATCAGGGCCACGTGAATGACCACATCGTTCTCAATGGGACCCTGCAGGAAACAAGCAAAGAAGATGTATTGGAAAACTTTAGGTCTCAACGGACTAGACTTAAAGGCAAGGGCACTGAGTGTAAAATCCATTGCCTGCGAGTTCAGGAGTGAGTGACTTCACTAGAAATGAAGAAAAGAAAGAAAGACCTTAGGAGTGAAAGAAAAGTCACAGCAGTTAAAGTATAACCGATTACTAGGCGGCAGGAGGGAATAGGGGGGAAAACAAGCTTCATGGAGAGGGAGAGAAAGAGAGACTGCAGACAAAGATGAGGGAGATGATTGTGGATCAGAGCTCTGATTCTTTATGCTAGCTCATTACAGGCGTTTGGGCTGGATGATGTAGTAATTTCGCTGAGATAATGAGCTGCTGATTGCTGAAGGTTTAGGTTGGGTCATATCAATCAGTGGCTAAAGCCCTCTGCCTACACACAGAGGACACCCAGCAGCCATTTAAACCTTCCACAGCCACAACGTCAAAACCGTGAAAGCATCTCAGTGGCTAATTTGTCTTGTTTTCTGAAGATCACAACTAGGGGGGCTTCACGGTTTTTCTAAACAATCGTTATTTCTGCTAAACAAAAAATAACCAAGCATGCCATTCTTTTACTTTAACGCTATTTTAACACTACAACTAGCAGGTTTCTATAGTTACTAGAATGGCCATAGTAGTACCTATTACTAGACTGTACTAAATACTTACACTGCAGAATGAAGCTTTGAATATCTGTCCATTTATTTCTACAATCTCTCCCATAATATTTAACGGTGCATTTCACACTTTGTGCCCTTCAAACTGAAGAGCAAAGTTTTTTCACTGCAGTGAAAATGTTCTATAAGGTCTAAATGCCATTAAATACAGATTGATGCAGAATAGTTTGGTAGATGATACATGGTAGATACAGATGGGGTCATTAAAAATGGACCTTTTTTTACCGCGACTCGCTTCATTTTATTCTGCTGTCAGCCACAGTATTTCTGTCAAACTCTGCTTGGAGTTGAAATAAATGTGTTTTGCTTCACAGAACATCCACTGGGTGGCGCATCGAACAACAAACTCCACTGTACAGAATATATCATAACCTTGTTTTAAACTATGCAGGTTTACATTTTTAATACGGATGCACGATATATCGGCATGCATATCATTATTGGCCGATAAATGCTATTTTTAAGATTATTAAGATTGTCCAGTGCACTATGATGGAGCTCTCCTTACATGGCTTATTCCTTCAAAGTCTGTCCTTTCTTCATGTGGTATTGCTATTGTGCGTTAATATCTCAGTAAGTAACCATGTTCTTTATCATTGTAGATATGTTTGATTGAGTATCGTTGTGTATTTTGCTTTAAATCGCCTTAGGATAAAAATTACATGTGTAAACAAAACAGCAGAGATGCACACGTGCTAAACAACTTGTTGGGTTGTTTGTAATCTAATATGATGATTTGTTCTTATCAACGTGTTGCTTGCCATGTGTTGTTGATGTAAGATTGTATTCGGTTTGATCGGAATATTCATATTGATTATAATGAGCGCACGTGAGAGCTGTTACCACACACACACACACAAAAATACCCACAGACACACACACACTGATCTGACAGCCTTCATCGCAACATGAGGGAAGAGGTGTGCCAGTCATAGAGGCTCTCAACTCGACGCCACAGTCTGTCTTTATATTACGCTCTGTGTTTGTCTGTAAAGTCATCTGCTCAACGCTCAGGTGTTTTATAAAAAAATCATCTGACTCCGAGGGCAAATTAGCACTCACAGTTGAGTGAAACTCACAGCGGTTTATCATAAACTTTTTATCGATCATTTTTACCGCAATTGACAGCAAGAATGAACACAGAAGCGTTGTCTGATTGACAAGCAGCACCTACATGTGTTCAAAAGAATCAAAAACGCCAAATAGAATAAATCTATGCCGCATTTTCTAAAGTAATACAATCTGTAAATAGCTGTTCGCTTGTACGGTGGCTCTGAACTGTCAAAACACCTCTAAAAAGGATTTTTCAGACATGACAAATTCATACATATGTACATTACTGTAACACGTTATATTCAAGAACATTTAAGCTGGTTTCAGTCCTTAGCTCTTATATTTTCATTTTATTTAAATATATGTTTAACTTGCTTGTTGATAAAATGCCATTTTGTTATTTAACCTATTATTTTTATGCAAAAGTCAAGTTGCATGTTAATTTGCTATGAAGAAAAGGAAATAATTTATTTTTTGCATCCTGAATTTGCATGCTAAAATCATGAATAAAGATCTATAAAATCACCTTGCAATTTTGAAATTATAGCTTTTTTTGCTTTGAGTATAGACTATTCCGTTCATAAGAGCAGTTCAATCTTTTATGAAGTTGCTGTATAAAAAATATAAAATTTTTAAATATTTATAATTATCGGCCTATATATATCTGCTATCGACCTCCAAGTCTGAAGAGTTATCGGTTATCGATATCGGCCAAAAAAAATTTATATATTATACTTTATACTGTATATAACAGGATAACTTTAATCATGTCTCTCCAAAACTTAATTTAAAACTCTATTATAAATAAAAAAGAAAGTTAAAGTGCAGTTTCTGAGTCGTCAGATTGAGCGTGTAGTTAACTTGTGTTTGCTATGGAGTTTGTGAATCTGTGACTTATCTCAAGTATTTCTCAGCATATATATATATATATATATATATATATATATATATATATATATATATATATATATATATATATATATATATATATATATATATATATATATATATATATATATAGCATATATATATATATATCAGCATATATTTCATATTATTTTCACTGAGATTCTGTTTTAAATTTTGTATTACTTTATCACTTTTAAATCTCATCTGAAGACCCATCTTTTTAATCAGACTTTCCTTTAACTATTTTTTTAGCATGTTTTTTTATCATGTTATTTTATATTCACTATGTGTTTCTACCTGCAGCTCCTAACATGCATTTAAAATGCTTGTTTGGTAATGTTTTATTAATAGTTTAAATTTGTTCTGGTATGGCTGTTGACGCTTATTGTAAGGCGACCATAGGTGTCTAGAAAGGTGCCATTTACAAATAAATTAAATAAATAGATATTACTTCATCAGACAAAATGATAGGCTATTTTGTTTGGATATTTAAGGCATATTTATTGTTTGAATATTTTTATGCTTGAACTGTTTTAGTATATGTATACAGATGGCTAAACTGATCAAACAACTAATGATGCAACGCTCTAAAAATTTATTTATTTAACCCAATGGTTGAGGTAAAAATATCTGGGTCTTTGTTGGGTTATTTTTTTTACCTTTATTGGGTTATTTATTTAATAAAACATGGACTTCACACTGTTCTAGAGATACTGGAAACAATCCTGTGCAGCCTCTATTTGAATCAAAATCCATAAATAAATTTATATCTTAAGTTAGGATAGACAATAATAAACACTGGAATAAAAAAACATATATCTTAATGGAAATCTTAATGAATGTGATGAGTAGCCTAATGAAGCAAATCTTAGGATATAAGCAGATCTTAGGATAGAATAACTAATAAAAGCATCACTAATATGCAGTTCAATGCAACTTTATGGACATCTGTATAGCTAAATGTAGCCTATTTTAAAATATTATGCCATTTATAATGCAAAACTCATTTTGGTCATTAAAGGTAGAAATAGAATAAAATATATAATCATATAGATTTAATGTCAACAAAGTTGTTTCACTGCAAAATTCAAAGATGACTTGGCAGAATAGAATATCCCTTGGCAGTTCTAGCGCTAAACTACTTCCAAAGAGCACAATATTAACCAGCTAATATGTAAATCACACACCTTCAACTGCGCCGAACATTGGAATAGACAGATCTATTAGTCTGAACGGAAGATGGTAATATATTTGAGGTGTGGGCTGTTTGTCTGGGCTGTGTTGTTGTTTGCTTCCTCTGAAACGGGAGAGATAAGTGCTCAGTGAACAGGGCAAATCACAGCTTTGGTTTAAATGACATATTGGCACAGGCATTTTGTGGAGGCAGTGCAGTGAGTCATCACAAGGGCTGATCAACAGAGACTATACATGCTAATTCTGCCTAGCGCGAGGGCTGCAGAGGAGGATGGTATTTTGTTCAGGTGGATGGGAGCAGGTTCAAGCTGCCCTTGATGGATGGGAAAGCGAATGTCTGGGTATGTTATTAGTCTGCGACAGGTGCAGTGCTCAAAAAGTGAAAAGGTGCCGTATAACTTCTGCAGTTCGCAATGCGGCAACAACAACACTGAAGATCTCGGATAGATAGAAGTGTTAGGGTTAAATCAGGTGTTTATGCAGCATTAGTAGCACCGAAAACATTAGCGGCAACAAAATCGCAAAACAGTCAATTGTAAGACCAGTAACATTTAAGCAGTGTAGTTTGTGTAAAGTGAGTAAAAGCTGAAATTAACTACAAGACTATTTAAATATGAATGCATTTAAAACAGTACACATCGTTCACTTGTCGACTTCTAAAATAGTTTCACACAAAAAAAGAAAGCAATTTTAAAAAACGAAAAAAAACAAATGAAAGCGTATATATATATATATATATATATATATATATATATATATATATATATATATATTTTTTTTTTTTTTTTTAATCTATTTTAAGGTCAAAATTATTACCCCCTTTAAGCTATATATTTTTTGATGGTCCACAGAACAAACCCTTGTTATACAATGACTTTCCTAATTACCCTAACCTGCCTAGTTAACCTAATTAACCTAGTTAAGCTTTTAAATGTCATTTTAAGCTGTATAGAAGTGTCTTGAAAAATATCAAGGGTCAAGGGTCATCTTCTAAAAACTTGCAACTTCTCCCTAATGTTTCTTCTCATTCTTCTTTCATCTTCTGTGGTTTCAATCCTCTCATCATCTCCCAGGCAGTACGGGATTCCTTTTGCATGATGACATTAACGGGCAGTCCTCTGTCCTTCATGTCTGAA